AGCCCAATTGGTTTTTTTTCTCCCCAAAAAGGAATCAGGCAAGGGGACCCCCTGTCCCCTTTACTCTTCATCCTAGCCATGGAACAGTTGAGCAAAATGCTAGACAAGGCCAGAGAATTACAATGGTTTCAAGGTTTTGAAATTGGCACCAATGCTGAAAATACAATCACTATTTCTCATTTGCTATATGCAGATGACACTCTAATTTTTTGTAGAGCAGAGGTATCACATGTGCAATATTTGAATCTGACATTGCTTATATTTGAAGCCCTATCTGGCCTCCACATCAACATGATAAAGAGCATTATATACCCGGTTAATGAAGTACAGAATTTGGAAATGCTAGCAGATATTTTATGTTGTGAGATAGGCTCATTTCCAACAACCTATCTAGGACTGCCTTTGGGTGTTAAGCACAAATCAACTGAAATCTGGAATGGAGTGGTGGAGAAATTTGAAAAGAACCTAGCTACATGGCAAATACAATACTTATCCACGGGGGGCAGACTCACACTCATCAACAGTGTACTAGACAGTATCCCTACTTATCTTATGTCTCTTTTTCCCATCCCCTCAAAGGTACAGAAGAAATTGGACAGAATCAGAAGGAACTTTTTATGGGAAGGCAATAGCGAATCACACAAGTTTCATTTAGTGAAATGGAGGAGAGTGACATTGCCTAAAACTCTTGGGGCCTGGGCATCAAAAACATTGCCACACACAACAGATGCCTACTCATGAAATGGCTATGGAGATATGTGCAAGAGGAACAGTCAACCTGGAAGAAAGTGGTGAATGCAAAACACGGGGTCCAGAGTAACTGGTATACAAAAGTCTCTAGGGCGGCACATGGGGTTGGACCTTGGAAATACATAATCAAACTATGAGGGAAGTTTAGCCAGAAGAGCAGATTTCAAATCGATAATGGGTCTAATGTTAAGTTTTGGAAAGACAAGTGGCTAGGGGATTCAACTCTACAAAATGACTTTCCAAACCTCTATCAAATAGCAAGCAGACCTGATTCAACTGTCTCTCAGAATAGAGCAGACAATTCTTGGTTTCCAATCCTTAGAAGAAATGTGCAAGACTGGGAATTGCATGAATTACTTAGCCTTCTGGAACAATTGGAGAAATGCATGGTCAATGAACAGCTTCCAGATAAACTCATATGGGGAGCAAGTACTAAAGGAATATACACCGTGAAAGCAGGATACCTAAACAATATTAGCCAAAATGAAATGGTGGACAGTTGGCCTTGGAAGCTCATCTGGAAAACAAAATTACCCCCCAAAGCTATATGTCATAGCTGGACTGCATTGAAGAAGCATGTCTCACTCAAGATAATCTTTGCAAAAGGAGCATCCCCATAGTTAATAGATGCTATATGTGCCGGCAGGATTTTGAAACAAACAAACATCTATTTTTGCATTGTCCAGTTGCTACAGACATCTGGAATATGTTCCTTTCAGTTTTAGGACTCAACTGGGTGATGCCAGAGAGTATTAAAGATGCTTATAGTAGCTGGAGTCGATGGAAAGTTGGTAAATCCATCAGCAGGATCTGGAAAATGATTCTTGGATGTATTTTTTGGGCTATTTGGACAGAAAGGAATAGAAGATGTTTTGAGGGTTTAGCAACTCCAAATTACTCCTTGAAGGCTAATTGTATAGTTTTGTTATATAGCTGGAGTAACCTCTCCCCTATTAGCTCCCCCGAATTATTTTTGGATTTTGTTAGCTCCCTAACACTAGCATAGGACCATCTGTACAGAGCTAACATATCATCTTTTGTATTAGCACCTGGACAGTGCTCTTTTGCATCTTCTTGATGCTTTTTATAATATATTTTACTTCATAAAAAAAAAAAGGATCACTATCTTGTGCCACCAAATCTAAGATAATATTTCTTCTCCACTCCAATCCTAGATTCTTCTTGGAATGAAGATTAGAGGGATGTGTCAAAAAACACAGTTTACGCATTAAAAGTGGTTGGCGGAAGGCATTCCTTTAAAGTCCTTTTATAAGGAAATCTCCAAAAAAGTATTCTTTTGGGATAAATTCTAAAACAGAAAATTGCCTTGTCATAGACAATTTTTCACCTAGAAGGTCTGTAAAAATTGTTTCTACCAAATAAATGTTCTCGTTATAAAATGCTTTTGGAAATGGAATTCTTCCAAAGGACTTCTTTTGGAAAAACTGAAGATAAAAGTTAGTATCAGACAAAACCAAGTCTTTGCTAATGTTTTTGGAACCTCCTGGTTGAAATGTTTAGAGAAGAGCTACTTAAACCTTTTCCCAGAAGATATTTTGGGCTCATTTGACGTAAACTAACTAGGTGTGCGGGTAAACATTCTACAGAGTTCCTGCAGGAAGCATTGTCCTTCAACACCGCACAATTTACCAGCAAGAGACCAGCCTTTTTTTTTCAGAAAGAGATCCCATGCAGTACCTTTGAAGAGGTTAAGCTAAGGTGGCCCACAAGATTTGAGTGCTAAAGATAGGTTTCGCTTGACCATGTGCTATAAGAAATTGTCCTCAAAAGGCCTCTAGAAAACATATCTTCTTTCTCTTAGCTATGTATCGTGGAATTTCCAAGATCAATCAATCAACCAACCGACTATACCTCAATCCCAAACTAGTGCGCAAAGGATCACAATGTCATCACTTGCATTTTTACGGTTAAAAAATAAATATATGCACATGTATACATTGTGGTAACATCTAAACATCAGTACTTAAGTAACAAAATCTTAAGTTGCTCAGCTACTGTTTTTTAATATCAGAACAAGAATATCCGTTGTTTTGTTCATCTAATATCTCTCAATACTTTAAACATGCTCAATTACTGGAGTACAGTATCAATCTTCTTTGTTTTTCTCCAGATGCACTTATAGTAAATACAAGCAGATATATTCATGATTTCAAATGCAAGAATGAAGACACACAAGATCAAATGGTTCCGTAACACCAAAACTACTACTACTGCCTCATTTTTTCTCTCCTTTTCTACTGATATAGACTAGTTCTTAATCTTTTATTGCACCACGACTCAAAGAAGATGCTCATAGTTGAGTAAGTCATTGAGGAAAGAACACTATTGAAGCTGAAACTTGATTAGTTCATTGTGTCAATTGTGATTTTTTGTGCTTCTTGTTATGCTTCATGTCATATCAGCTTTAATTGTTTGTGCTTTGCTTTCTAAAGAAGACGCTCATAGTTGAGTAAGTGCCTCCAGCTTTAATGAGGCTATGGTTTACCGTTCAATTTTTATAGACTTGGTATTGTATTAGTGAACCAGACAGCATAATAAGAATAATTAGGTTAATCGACACAACACTGAAGGTAAGTTAAAATTTATCTCTGATTGGCCTTCTGATTCTGATTCTGTTTCCAGCTCCTTAGTAATAATAAATAACTTTTCAATCACGGTAGTTTCTCTCTACGTTTAGCTAAAGATAAGGCATAATAGAAGAAACAGATCCATATAGGTACAGTCAAAGACAGCTACAACCTCATATGCACTCAGAATGGTATGCTGGAGAATTGGCCTTGGAAACATGTCTGGAGACCACCAAAAGTCTAATGCTTTACTTGGATAGCTCTTAATGAAGCAGCTCTCACACGGGATAATCTATGCAGAAAGAATATAGCCTTAGCCAACAGATGCTACATGTGCCAACAGAATTCAGAATCTATCAGCAACTTATTTTTGCATTGCCCAGTTGCAGCAGCCATCTGGAACTTTTTCCTTTCTATGTTTGGTCTGCAATGGTTCGTCCCTCTATTTATTAAGGAAGCATACAAATGTTGGATTTTTTGGAGAGTCGACAAAGCCATTAAGAAGATCTGGAGAATGATTCCAGCAGTTATTTTTTGGGTTGTTTGGAATGAAAGGAATCACAGGTGTTTTGATGGGATCTCAGCTCCAACCCATTCGCTGTAATCTATATGCTTAGTTAATTTGTTCAATTGGAACTTTCTCTCCCCTGTAAGTAGTGTTGACAACTTTTTGAATTTTGTTAGCTCCCTGATCTTAGTTTAGTCACTCATATAATGGAGCTAACTAACTTTTGTACTCTTTTGCTACTAGCATCTCCCTGATGCTCTCTAATAAAAAATGATATCATTTTACTTCATCAAAAAAAAAAAAAAAAAAAGGTCCATATAGGTGATATCTACTAGTTTGGAATAGGTTCTAGTCGTGTTAGTGATCTTCTAATATTATTATTACTATTAATTATATATATATATATATTTAATTCATTTTTACAATTATTTTTATTTGATATGATGATTACATAAGTTGAGCTTAAATAGAGAAGTGTGAGGATTCACATAGCCAACCCCAACTTGTTTGGAACTGAGGTTTAGTTGTCGTTGTTGAAGTTTTCTCTCTACTTTATCTCGACTCTTCACTTACAAGTGCTATCTTGATCAATTTTTCTTCTATTTCATACTTGCTTATAGCTTTTAAGCCCACCTCGTAACCAAATGATCACTTGGAAGTCTTAGGATCACCGTAGATTTGCATCAAACATAAGAAACTACCAACAACATATCAGGAGGCAAGGTTGCCTCCCATTCATCATCTTTGAACCTTCCATAACACCTTTTTAAGATTCAAGATAGTAATAAAGTCATAATGTATTCGTAGATAGACGAATGTCAAATTTCTTACAGAATGATTAGCAAGGTACTTCAACTGCTTTTTGGTTAACCATAAATTTCCATTATTTTGCCCTATTCATCCATAGACTAACATATAGAGAAAAAAGTAATAAAGCAATTATCATGATGAATAAAGTAGACAACCATATCATGAAACGATCAAATTAAGTCACATTAGATCATGTCATCAAACATATAAACAACAACAATTAAACTAAGACATTGCACTAGTAGTTACTAAATTCACAAGATCAAAACAATAACTAAGTCATGCTTCCATCATAGTTAAATTTAAACTGACAATAGATTATCAAAGCAATACGAATCTCTTACCAATGGACGACTAATCAATCAATCAGCGCGCTTGTAAGACACGTGTTTCCTTGCAGCCCGTGCATTCTCGTACTCAAATTTCAAAACATTAGGGATATGAGAAGTGTCCTTGACATAAAAAAACCTCCCAAAAGCACTTTCTTCAATAACAGGGAAAAGACCCTTGAGCACATTGTTAACAATCCAAAACCAACCCCCACCAAGTACTGCTCCTAAAGTAGCTCCAGCAAATACCTGCGCCAAAAGCCTAGTGATAAGAGCTCAGCTTTTGATGTATGGGTTAAGCGCACATCACAGGTTCGAACCCCATAATATACAAAGGCCTAGTATTTAAGTAGATAAGGGTTGAGGGGCGGATCCATTATCCACCAACAACAAACAACAAACCCACAATAGTCCCACAAGTGGGGTCTGGCGAGGATAGTGTGAGCTTACCCCTACCTTTAAGGTAGCGAGGATAGTGTGAGCTTACCCCTATTTCTAATAGACTCTCAGCTCAAGGAAATATGGAAAAAAGCAGCAGTAACAAGCATAATAAGAAAACAAAGCTAAAGGAAAATAGTGTAGTTCTATACACGGTTAGTATAAAAAAAATTCTTATACTATCGTGTCACCTAAAAAATATTTAGGCGTAAGCTTCCATAGAATAGTGAGCTTTGTATAACTTAAAAACGAGCTTCGAAAAAAATAAGGCACCTTACTAGCTACAACAGGTAAATGTAAACTGCTAATATAAATTTATTTACAGTGACGGTATATATAACTTAATTTTAAAAAATGTACCTGTGCGACCGTATGATAACCCAAATAGACTCTAGAGTACAGAGTCAAAACCGCCATAGGCCAAACCAAAAGAAGCACAACCCATAATTGGTTTCTACAAATAAGTCCCAATTTTCTATAAGTCAAGAGAGTAAAATACACAGCGAAAAAGAACATGTACTGAGAATGGCTAGAAGGCCAGCCATGAGAATCACAAACTTCAAGAAGAGCACAAGTTTCGGGTCGGGCCTGTTGGAATGATTTTTTAATGATTTCGTTTATGAATTGGGAAATTAAAAGCCCAATTGCGAAGAACATGCCCTGAAGTTCTCTACGGAAAATGAAATGAGAAATAAAACCGCCAAGGCTGATGAAAACAGGAACTAATGAAACCCATGCTAAGAAATGGCCTAATTGATCTCCCTTTTGGTATCTAACGTGAGTCAATGTTACTGCTTTCAATGGATGTGGAGACATAGCTTTAGGATCTGATAATTGGTCAGATCTGTGATTTTTTGAGAATTAAAAGAATGGGAGAAGGGGAAGGTAGAGAAGTGAAAATGCGTGAGTTTGTGAAGGGAATGGTGGTGTTTGTTGTAAATCGTTGAAATCAGCTAAAAAGCGTTGCTGCCAAATGGGAAAGAAGACTAGGAAGAAAAGAAGCTTTAACTAGCCATGCGTTTAACAACACGTGTGAAAGATCTGTAACTATGCCGGGAACAATGTGGCAAGTATTAAGCGGGGTGTCAATTCATTTTAATTATTGACTTGTTAATTAAATATTTATATATATAATAAATTTTCTAATATAAATATAGAATTTAAGCAAAAGTTATTGAGTTGTGATGCTCAGGGCAGGCTAATGAGGGCGGGTCAAGCAGGACTAAAAGTCTTCTAGGCTGACAAGCTTTTGAAAAAGGGGTGCACATGTCATGTTAGTCAAATCTCACATCGGAATGAAAGAGGAAAGTGAAGAGCTTATAAGGCATGACACAAGTTCATATGGTCCGCGCGCTTTTGGGATTTGATGTGCCGTAGCCCGAAAGACAAATTCTTGCAGCCCTGGATCCAAAAGCGGACAATATGTGTCATGGGCTTGGGTCATGACAAATATGAGTTGAATCTCCCTCAGTACGATAGTGGGGCAAACCCCAGCGAGGACGTTGAGTCCCAAGGGGGTGCACATGTCACCTTAGGGGAATCCCGAGAGGGAAGTGAAGAGCTTTATAATGCAGGCAAAATGGCCTCCGGGCCACTTAAACTGGCACTCGTTTTTCAATCCGGTAAAGGAACTTACGCGTTTCCCATTTGTACACTTCAACTCATTCATTTGCATAATTTTAAACCCCTTTGACTGTTGACCATGGTTACGTGACAGCAATGTAACTGACGTGGCAAATATGTGTGATAATCACGCTTGTGACGCGCGTGTATTGATCCACGTCCAATCTGCACTCAATAGTGAGTGGAAACGGTCGTTGGAAGAATAGTACCCAATAAGAGTCGGGGTCGATTTCCACAGGGAGTTACTACGGGTGTTAGGAGTATACACTTGGCGAAAGCGAAAGGAATAGCTAAATTGCACTTCCACAATAGGTTTTGATTTTTTATTCTAATTTTACTCTAGCAATTATAAGCTAAGAAAAGAAACTAGAAGCAAATCAGTATTTTTGGTGTTTTCCCAAATAATTAAAGGCCTAGGGTTGTGACCATAACCTAGGTGTTTGACTAATGGGATAAAGACGTTAACACTTGTTTTGTTGATTGGGGTGTATTATAGCTCTCAACTCTATGTTACCCACTCAATACCTCTCGGTCAGAGAGTGATTTTGCCCAATTTGGCTTTCTCAAGTCCAAATGGGTATCAAACAAAATATTTGATATGAGCTCAAGTCGGGTTCTTACTATCCCTAGTACGAACCCTTTAATTAGGCTAATCAATCTCTCAATTAACCCAATTCCTTATTAGCCAAGTTATTCTAGACTAGGTCTCTCTTTCTCAAGTAGAGACTAAGTCAAATAGGCATGAATCAATATTTGCAATCATTAATTCTAAAATTGAAGCATGAACTAAGCTAAATAATCAATACTCAATCATAAACAAGCATTAAATTAATCACACATAAGGTTTACACATTAGGGTTGGGTCACAACCCTAGTGAAAATCTAGTTACTCGTAATGGAATTTGCAAAAAAAAAAAGAAGAAGAAAAGCTAACTAAACTCATAATGGAAGATTAAAATGATGAAATCTAATGTTAAAATACTCAAATAAGCTAAAACTTCCTAAAATAGCTAAAAGAAACGGCTACAACAACTTTGTATGTTCAAACTTGACCTAATTTTGGTAAAACTCGTCTATTTATACAGGGCCAAAAATCACGGACAAAAATGCCCCTCGGGAGGTTCTGCGGCCGCACAATTCCATGTGCGGTCTGCAGATTTCTTCAGTTGGCAGGAAGGAGGTTTTTGCGGCCGTACATTTCTGGACTGCGGCCACGAGGTAAACTTCTGCGGCCGCACTTCACAAAGGCTTCATGACTAGGTCTTCTTGCATATTCTCTGAATTTTGCATCTTTGTCAGTAAAAGCCTGGTTCTGCGGCCGCACAATTCATGTACGGTGCGCATATTGCTGAAAGTTATGTTGAATTTTGCTTCTTGGTTTGCGGTCGCAGAGGAAATTCTGCGGTCCACAATTGCTTCTGCGGACCGCACATTTATGCTTCTGCACCTATTATTGCCTTGTGATTCGGAACACTCCTTTTTTTAGTCGGATTTCATCTTGATAGACCAAACTTCCAACATTTCTGTAATTTTCACAATTTCATTAGTTTCGGGAACACAATTCAATACTTTCGGACTAAAACAAAAGCTAAACGGTGCTAAAAAGCAATCAAAATACCCATTTATCAACTCCCCCAAACTTAAGTCTTTGCTTGTCCTCAAGCAAATAAATTAGTTCCTACCTTCAAAAGTTAAGGGTCATTTCAACAAGTCAAAGGTGAGCCATCCACACATCAGTTGGGACCAACAATTACCCACACTACTCATGTATTATCAACAAGGCGACAAGTTAAACATTCATGCACATATAGTTTTAATGTGACAATTGAGCTTCAAGAATTAACTTTACTCATCAAGGACATTTGCTCTATCATGTAGGCCATGGTGGACTCCAAACTCCTCCTCTTCTACTTTCCATTTTCCAAGCTCACTTAAGAACTTTAGCACTCAATCCAAAGATTTATGAAAGGTTCACTCATCTCTCTCAAGAGAATGTCACAAGTACGGCTTCAAGTACCATAGGCTTGTACCTCATGTAGATCGCCACTAATGTAAGCTTACTCGGTTTGAAATCAAGTAGGACTTCTTTCGTGATGTAATGAAGGCTTTTGGGTTTGGGTAGGATACTATATGGGTAAGTGATTATACCTTTCCTTAAGCACTCCATTTTTCATTTCTCGGCTCACACTTTGCCAATTCTTAGAGGCACTTTCTTTTCATTTGGGACTAGAGAGACTTAGCATCACTCTTTCTTGATCATTTCATTCTTTTTCTCTCTTTTTTGATTTATCCATATTTTGGATCATTACCTTTTTTTGAAACCATTCAACCTTTCCACTTATTGACTTTTTGCATTTTGCTTTTTTGTTCTTTTTTTTTCTTGCCTTCTCTTCTTATAGAAATCATTCATTTTCTCTTTTTGTGCCTTGATACCTTTTTCAAGTTCCTGATCTCTCGCCAAACTTACATTTTAATCTATTTGTTTAACAAGAGTGTTAAGGAAAGCTCGGGGTGCCAAGAGAGGGTCGTGACAAAACGGATAAAGGATTGTAACATGGTTGTCAAATGAGAGAGGCTAGAGGCTCAAAGGGGTTGACTAGGGATAATGACATTGGTTGGCAATAGAAAACTCAAACGGGCCAAGGAGATCCTACAATCACGTCTCAAACCAAACAAAACTTAGGATTTCACCTTGAAACATATTCGGGGCAAGTTCTAGACCATTCGCACGGATACTTGGACTAGCAACATTCATCTCACCCCTCACGCAACCAGTTTGTAAAAGAGGACATAGTCGAGGGCCCACTACGTCCACATTCAAGTTTAAAGATCACTATGGTCCAATTAAATCACTCTATGATTGCCAAATTCAACACAAGAGTCACAAAGTCACTAATTAGAGTTATTTCTTTCAGAAACCTTATCTCTAACCATAAACACGTAGTTAAGTGTGTTGGTGCCAATTGAAGCATGATTGACTCTTCAAACATGACTTAATTAGGTCTTTTTATTCATTACTACTACTGTTATTACCTAAATACAAAAACTGACTCATTCCCTTAAAAAGGTTGTCATGCCATCCATCGTTGGGATGAGTCACCCGATTTACACTAAAACTATCTTTGGAAAGAACCGCGACATTAAGAAAACCAAAGGCTTATTATCTACTAAAACATAAAAAGAAGCTACTAAGCAAAACAAAAGCTAATATACTACTAAAATATAAAAAGAAGTTAATAAGCAAAACCAAAGATAAAGAAGCTAATGAACAAAACAACTAAGGATAAAATGAATCTACATAGTAAGAGAAGAGAGAGAGAAGATATATACATACAAATAAGAAAAGAGAAAATATCATTAAATTATTACAGGCCAAATTTATCAAAGTACCAAATGTATCAAATAAACTCCACCCCCACTCCCGAATAAAAGTAAGCATTGTCCCCATTGCTTAGCAAAATAAGAGTAAAAGAGGGAAGAGTTAAGAAAACTCTCTATGGCTCCTTGGACATCTCTGTGTCCCCAACAATGTTATTGCCCTCAGGATCAGCCAACTGAATCTCATCATCCCTAACTCTAGGTGTGGCTGGGTTGGCGGACATCTGACATACTGCCTTAGTAGTGTCGGCAACAAGGTCTGGCTCTTCAGACTGGCCAGCTGGTGCAGATGGTGCTGTAGGATCTGAGACGGAGTTGTGTGGGTCAAGCAGCATGTCAAAGGGGAGATCTCCGGCTGTAGCAAGCCTGGTCACCTGTCTCCGGAGCTTGCCCACTGACTTCTTGCTGGCTTGGGATTTTCTCATCTTCTTGACTTCCTTTCCCAGCTCTTCAATCACCGACCCATGTTGTACCAAGGTGTCCATAATAGTCTTCCGGTTCTCCAGAATATTCTTCAATGTCTTCTCAAGGTCAGAAGGAACATGTGATGTCTGTGAGGTGGATTGTGCTGTAACAGTACTGGACAAGTCAGACAACTTTACAGTGGTTGTCTGCATCCAGTTGTTGAGACTCGCCAATGTCTGGGAGACTCGTAGTGCAGATAGTGAATGAGGAGGCACGGGCACTAGGTTCAAAGCCGAGGTGGGAGTTGTGGTAGGAGCTGCATTAGGGACTGTGGAGGAGGGCGGAGGCATAGCTGCGGCACTGGAGAAAGGATCGACTGAAGTGGATGGAACATCAATTGCCTCAGCTACCATAGCTGGCTCATCAAACTGGCCCACAGTGGTAGGAAACTGAACTTTCTTCTTCGGATTGTTCGCATCCATCAGTGAATACCAAGTAAAAGGCTTCTTCAGCCTCACCTTTGTGTTATAATCCCTCAGCTCTACCCTTTTATCCGTGAGATATTCTGTAATAATGTTGG